CTCCTTTCTTCCTGTGTTATGGACGGGAACCACTCACACCACAGCAGCCAACCACACCGGCACACGTCCAAGCCGCACATGACTTTGTCATGGTCTGTTCGAGACGCTTCGCGACCCGCGGAACCTTCGCGTAACACCTGGTTACGGGGCCTTGTGTCGAGCCTATATATAGCCTTGTGTTGTACCCACGTGATCATTCAATTCACATTCTCTTTTCTGAGCTCGATCCTAGATCCTCACAGCTTTTGTCCCTGGAACTGTTTGTTGAGGTCCTTGTAGGGCTTTAGTCGCTGAACATGGAAAGCGTTGTGAAGCTTTGAAGTTGTAGGTAAGCGCAAGCGGAATGTTACTGGTGTCACCTGTGCCTCAACGTGAAAAGGACCACTGAAGCTAGGCCTGAGGTTGGATGGTAGGTGAGACAAGTTTAAGTTGCGTTTGTCGAAAAGCACATGTTTTCCAAAAGCTTGGTATGATGCTATCGATCAGCATACTGCTATTGGGAGGTCTCCATCGTGGTGAGGCATCGCCGAGTCTTCTCCCATAGCTGCTGCATGGTGGTGATGAAGTCATGTGCGGCTTGGATGTGTGCCGGTGTGGTTGGCTGCTGTGGTGTGAGTGGTTCGCGTCCGTAATACAGGAAGAAAGGAGATTTCCCTGTGGCCACATGTGACGCGTTGTTGTAAGCAAACTCAAGTGTCGCTTACTATGAATCCAAGTGGCTGACGTTGTCTTTGCAAGCGGTGCGCGGTAACTGTTCAAACACCTGATTGAGTCGCTCTGTCTATCCGTCAGTCTAGGGATGGTAGGCTTAAGACATGGCAAGCTTTGTCCCCAACAAATCCATGAGTTCCCTCCAAGCCTTACTAGTGAACTTAGGGTCTCTGTCTGAGATGAGTGTAGCGGGGATGCCGTGAATGGTGATGATGAGGTCGAAAAAGAGGCACGCAGGTGCTTCAGGTGTAGCCGTTGCGTTGGTCAGAATGAAGTGTCCCATCTTAGAGAACTTGTCGATCACCACCAGTATACCGTCATGCCCTCGTGAGGTCGAAGATAGCCTAGTGATGAAGTCTAGGTTGAGAACTTGCCGTGGCTGCCCCGGTAGGGAAAGAGGCTGAAGTAACCCTGCATTTCTTTACTTGCTACTCTTCATCCGCTAGCACGTGTCGTATGAGGTGACGAACTGCTGTACGTCTGCTGCCATCCCGGGCCAGTAGTAATACTTTGCTATCCCTGCTAACGTCTTGTTGCTCCCAAAATGCCCCGCCTACTGTTTGTCGTGAAACTCCTCCAGCAGAATCTGTCGGAGCGGGGCATAGCTTGGGACCCAGATCTTTCGTGAACTCTACCTTACAGCATAAGTTTCTCTGCTGTAGCGATCTCTGCATTTACGTAGTATCCATGTTGGAATGGGCCCTTGAGCAGAGGGTTCATCCCGTTGAGCTGGATGCCTGCTACATCTCCGGGGCGGCTCAACGCGTCTGCTTTGTTGTGTAGCCCGGGCTTGTAGATGATGTCGTAGTGGAAGTGAGATTCTGAGAAGTCCACCCACCGCACCTGTCGTTGTGAGAGCGTCGGCTGCAACATAAGGTATTCGAGACGGTAGTGATCAGTGTAGACTGTAGTATTGGCTTCTTCTAGGTAACACCTCCACGCCTTGAAGGCTGTCACTAATGCTAAGGCTTCCATGTCATGGATTGGGTAATTCAGTTTTGCTCCGTGTAGCTTCTTACTGAGGTATGCGATGGGCTGCAAACCGCGTCCATGATCCTGCGTAAGTACATCTCCAACCGTCTGGTCGCTAGTGTCTCCTTCCACCACGTAGTTGTGAAAATAAGAACAAGGAATGAATGAACTAGCAGCACGATGGGTACAAGTAGGAAACCCTAATTCTACTGTAACCCATAAGGAGTGCCCCACTACAGCTTACAATATGGTTCTGACACACCCCCATAGGCAAAGTGGGGGACAAGCAAGAGAACAATGCAAGTTCAAGCTCAGGGTGGATCACAACGTCACCACATATTCTGAGCACAAGTTCAAGGCCACAAGGCCAGTTCACATGCAAGATTATAAATCAAGGTGAACAAGCAAGACAGTGATCTCAACCTAACAAGGGTAAGCATGCAAGTGCAGGTATATATAGATCACAGTACAAGCAAAGTCAAGAGGTAAGCAAGTGAGGCCCGGTAGGCACAAGACCTAGCATAGTACAGAAATGCTGATGATCACAAGGCTGAAGTGCATTGGTAAAGATATCAGCAGTGTTGGCCCGAGAGGCCACATAAGCAAGACGAAGCTGACCACGCTGCTGCAACTCTCGAGAAAGAAAGTAGCGTAGAGCAATGTGCTTCGTTCTGTGCTCCTGACACAAGGCCAGCATGGCCTTGTTGTGGACATGCAGAACTGGAGGAGAACGAGGCGCCTCTCCCAAGTCGGTCAGGAGGTGGTGAGCCAGCGTAACTCCTGTGCAGCCATGGCCCCAGCGTAGATCTCAGCCTCACAGCTGGAGCTGAGAACAGAGGACGAGCGGGTAGACCGCCACGAAACAGAGCCGGAACCAAGGCTGAATGTGTAACCCTGTGACGACCGCTGCGTAGCCAAGTCGTCAACCCAAGAAGCGTCTGCGTGACTAGAGAGGACAACTCGAGCGCGTCCTCCAAGCACGAGCCCCATGCTCGACGTACTGCACAGGTAGCGCAACACCCTCTTAGCTGCAGCCATGTGCTCTGGCCGGTGTCTCCCAGGAGCTACATAGCAAGCCAAGATTCTAAGAGGGTATGCCTGTTAAGAATGAGGAATGAATGAACTAGCAAGGAGGTGGGTACAAGTAGGAAAACCTAGAAATGTTGTACCCCATATAGTCTACCCCACTACAGCCTACACAGACCATAGCATATAAGTTTGACACACCCCAATAGGAAAAGTGGGGGAGAACAAGTGGTCACAAGACCAGTCAAGCAAAGCAAAGCAAGCTCAAGGTGGATCATAACCTCACCACACAATCCGAGCACAAGAGCAAGGCCAAAAGGCCAGTTCACATGCAAGAATATATATCAAGGTAAATAGGCAAGTGCAGGTATAGAAAGATCACAGTACAAGCAAGGTCAAGAAGTAAGCAAGTGAGGCCAAGTAGGCACAAGACCTAGCATCATACAGATTCGCTGATGATCACCAGGCGGAAGTGCCTTGGTAAAGATATCAGCAGTGTTGGCCTCAGAGGCCATGTAAGCAAGGCGCAGCTGACCACGCTGCTGCAGCTCACGAGCAAGGAAGTAACAAAGAGCAATAGGCTTCGTTCTGTGTTCCAGTCTGTGCTCCCGACACAAGGCCAGCATGGCCTTGTTGTCTATGTACAGAACTGGAGGAGAACGAGGCGGCTCTCCTAGGTCAGTCAGCAGGTAGGTGAGCCAGCGTAGCTCCTGTGCAGCCATGGCCCCCGCGTAGATCTCAGCCTCACAGCTGGAGCCGAGAACAGAAGACGAGCGGGTAGATCGCCACGAAACAGAGGCGGAGCCAAGGCTGAAGGTGTAACCCTGTGACGACCGCTGCGTAGCCTGGTCGTCAGCCCAAGAAGCGTCTGCGTAACCTGTGAGGACCACTCGACGTCGCCCTCCAAGCACTAGCCCCATGCCCGACGTACTGCACAAGTAGCGCAACACCCTCTTCGCTGCAGCCATGTGCTCTGGTCGGTGTCTCCCAGGAGCAACATAGCGTGCCAAGATGCTAAGAGGGTATGCAAGGTCAGGTCGTGTGCAGGTCATCAGGTACATGAGGCAGCCAACAAGCTCTGGGTACGGGCCACTCGGCTCTACGGACTCATGCGAAGGCAGAGCTGAGAGCGAGTGGCGAGTAGACAGAGGAGTGGCCTGAGGCGAGGAGTACGTGAAGTCTGAAGCGCTGAAGGACCTGCTGCACCATGTGTGACAGAGTCAGGGTAATGGTGCGCTGTGCTCTGTCCCGGGTGATCTGCAATGCCAAGGTAGCTGCGTAGTTCACCTAGGTCTTTGCACGTGTGTCTCTTCTGCAGCTCGGACTTCATGTGGGCAAGTCCAGCAGTGTCAGCAGTGGCAAAGACCAAGTCCTCGACGTACATGAGGATGTAGAACGGCGGCAGAGAAATGTCGGTGCGCAAAAACAGCGACGGGTCGGCAGTAGAAGGAGCAAACCCAAGAGCCGCAAGCGTAGTCCTCAGTGTGTCGTGCCACTCACGGGGCGCCTGGCGGAGACCGTAGACTGGCCGCCGGAGGCTCCACTGGGTACAAGGGGGAAACGACCCAATGAAGCCAGGTGGGCGGCGCAGCCAGATCTCCTCGTGCAGGCTGCCTTGCAGGAAAGCTGTGCTGAAGTCAAGAGAGTGAAGCTGGTAGTCACGCTGAGCGGCTATGTGCAGCAGCACACGAAGAGTGGTCATCTTCGGGGTGGGAGAGAAGGTCTGAAAGTAGTCAACTCCTTGCCGCTAACTGAATCCTCGAGCCACGTAACGCGCCTTGAAGACAGGTGGAGAACCCGGGGGCCGCTTTACCGTGAAAATCCACATGCCACTGACGATGTTCGCCCCAGGTGGGGGAACCTAGTCGACGTAGGTGCCTGTGGACTTCCAAGAAGCCATCTCTGCGTCCATGGCTGACTGCCACTTTGAGGAGTAGGGACCCTCGATCGCCTCAGCGTACGATCGAGGAGTCGGGATGTCTGGTGCATCCGGGTCTCCCCTAGGGGCAATCAGCGTGGACATGAGATGAGGCAAAGCAGCAGCAAAACACTGGAACTCCTCCTGCCTGTCTTCAAGGACGTCCGTGCTAAGAGCACACTCACCCCCGACGGACGGAGGACAGACGGACTCAGACTCAGCAACAAGACTAACAGAGTAATCGAGACGACAGCGAGCAGCAAAGTCGACAAGCTCAGCAACTAGGGCAGACGCAGCAGTGGACTCAAAAGTAGGGTCAGTGACAACAGTAACCAGGAGACGCGTGGCGGTAGGACTGGCAGCACGAAGAGAGTCAGACTCCGGGTCAGCAAGAACAGGAAGAGAGGACTCTGGAGGAGACGGCAACGGGACACGCAGAGGAGCAGTGGAAGGACGCAATGCCATCTGGTTTGTGCCCGAGACCGCAGGAGGACGCGGACACTAGTGTGAGCAGCACAAACAGGCGACGCAGGACGAGACGCAGGCTCACGACGCTCAGCAAGACCTCCTGTAGGACCAGAGAAGGAGCAGGTAGGGGGTAGGCGTGCTGTAAGTGTGACCGCGACTGAACAGGCTGTGGACACTCTAAGGGAGGAGCACGACCAATAGAGGGCGGGAGACCAAGAACCTGCTCAAGGAGCGGAACAAAGTACGGCCAGAGCCACGCAGCGCCTTCAGAACTAGCAGGGACAGCACGAGTACCCTCAGCGGCAGCACCAGCGCCAGCAGCACCTCCAGCTCCAACAGCACCCTCAGACGCACCAGCGCCAGCAGAACCACCAGCGCCAACACCCTCAGCAGCTCCAGCAGCACCAACGACAACAGGACCGGCAGCTCCAGTACCGCCGGAATCTCCAGCAATACCTCCAGCAGGACCAACTCCAGCAGCCCCAGCAGCACCCCCCAGTCTCAGCACCTCCAGTACCTCCAGTACGAACACCATCGGGACCAGCAGCAACAGTAGTACCTCCAGCTGCAGCAGCACGGCTCCAGCGCCGGGCAAACCACTCGCGCAGCTCCTGCGGAGAAAGTAGCTTCCGCCTTGACGAAGCACCTCGAGAGGCCACACGAGCAGACCCAGCACCCCCAGGCTCCGCACCCCCAGGCTCAGCACCCCCAGGCTCAGCACCCCCAGACTCAGCACCCCCAGGCTCAGCACCCCCAGACTCAGCACCCCCAGGCTCAGCACCCCCAGACTCAGCACCCCCAGGCTCCGCACACCTAGGCTCAGCACCTCTAGACCCGGCTCCCGCAGGCTCAGCACCTCTTGCAGCACCAGAGTCAACAGCTACCTTGGCAGGCTCGACTTCATCTACCTGGGACACACCTGACGGGGCAGGACCCTGAGTGGGGAGGGGGTGTACCGGGGGAGGACCTGGCGCAAGGAAGAGCGGCGGCGGGGGGAGGGGCGCAGTGCGGTAGGGGAAGAGATGGTAGTAAGGCACCGACTCGTCAAACGTGACGTCCTGAGAGGACAGAACACGACGCGAGGTGGGGTGGTAAAACTGCCAACCAGGCGCGTCAGGGGGGAAGCCAAGGAAGACGCAGGGAACAGCACGGGGGGATAGCTTGTCCACAGACAAGTCGTGGACAAACGCCCGAGATCCCCAGACCCGAAACGCAGATGCATCGCCAACCTTCCCCGTCCACCGCAAGGTGGGGGAGGTCTCTGGCAAGGAGACCCGGGGCTGAAGGTTGAGCTGATGCGCTGCGTACTGAACCGCAAACGGCCACAAAAAATGGGGAGCAGCCGCATGGATCATGGACGTACGAGCGACGTCCATGACTATGCCAATGCGGCATCTCAGCAATCCCATTTTGCTGTGGAGAGGCCGGAAGCGTGAAGGTCTGGCGGATGCCCTGTGCACGACAGAAGGCTCCCAGACGGGCAGAGGAATACTCCCCGCCTCTGTCAGAGTGCAAACGCAGAACAGGAAAGTCCGAGCCGAAACTCTCTCTGAGCTGGAGACGAGCTGCGCGGATCCAGCCGATCAACACCTCAGCAACGTCACCCTTGCTGCGCAAGGGGAACACCGTGGTGTGACGCGAGTAGTCGTCAACATCCAATAGGAAGTAACGCTCGTGACCCTAGCCACGGACGCGGGCGGGGCCCCACACGTCCATGTGAAGAGTCTGCAGCGGAGCCTCTGTCGGAGGAAACTCGGAGGAGTGAGGGGCGGCGCGCTGTCGCCCCTCGACGCAGGGGACGCAGGTAGGGGCAGGCCCCGGAGGTAGGGGAGGGAGGGACCGGGGGAGACCAGAGACAAGGACACGGGAGGCCATGCCTTAGAGACGAGGCAAAGAGGGGTGACCAAGGCGGTGGTGCCAGAGGAGAGTCTGGTGGGACAGGAGACGACACGAGCAGGGCGCAGACTCAGGACCAGACCTGGACGCTGCAGCAAACACCTGACTCGACGCAGCTACCTGACCAGACTCAGCAACCGGAGGAGACTCAGTGGTCAGTGTGTACAGGCTCGACCTCGGCTGACGGGTAAACGTGGCCAAGTGTCGGCCCGTCCGAGCACACGTGCAATGGGTCACCCGCTGACTCACAAGAGTGAACTGGTCAACCCCCCTATCCTATAGATCAGCTCCACTCACCAATTTTGTAGAGAACTAGGGGAGGTAGAGACCTGACAAGGTGCCAGAGGGGGCTGCCGGGCACGGTAAGACAGTGCAGAAGCTAGCAAGGACAGGACCCCCAAAGGGGTCCGCTAGGGAGACAGCAACCGGCCGACTAAGCGGCGTAAGCGTGGTGCGGTCTCGAAAGAAGGAGCGGGAAGCACCCGAGTCAAGGGTGAAGGTGTGTAAGGCCTGAGCCGACATGGTACCTGAGAGAGCAGACTCACAAGCACCTGGGGCTGCAGACGCACTAGCACCTAGAGCAGCAGCCTCAATGCCCGGGTCAGGCGGAACACACAGGTAGTAGTCACCCTCATCACTAGTAGACATGGCAGCAAGAATTGCATCATAATCAAGATCAAAGATAGAAACCCCCGCCCTAGACAGCTCTCTCCAGCGAGGGTTCTCAGTGGCGTCAGGAAACTGGTGACGCCAAGCGTCCGTCAGGCGGCCGAATCAGCGCTGGGTGGAGTGCGGGCCCCCGCACTGCTCACCACTGCGGTCGCCGGTACGGAGGACGTAGGTGCAGGGACCAGTACCCCCACCTCGCTGACGCCCAGCGTACCTCTCACGAAGCTGCAAGGGGAACGGGGTCTCACGACTGCAATGCTGCTGCTGGCACGGACCACCACCGGAGCCACTCCTTTGTGCAGAGCCGTGACCAGCTCCACCGCTGCCTCCGCCGTTTCCGCCACCTCCGCCGCCTCCGCCACCTCCGCCGCCTCCGCTCCCTCCGCCACCGCTGCCGCCTCCTCCGCCTCCACTACTGCCACCGACACCTCCTCCCCCGCCACCACTCCCACCACCACCCCCACCCCCACCACTGCCTCCACCACCACCCACACCGCCCCCGCCAGCCCCTCCAGCGCCCTTGCCCCCCTTGCCCTTGCCGGTGCGGCGTCTCTTCGCTAGGGGCAGACGCAGCGCCGACCAACTCGAAACCAACGAGGTTGGCCGCAGTAGCAGAAGCAACAGAGGGCAAGAGGGGGGAGGGGGAACACCTCTCAAAGACAGGGGTGCGAGGGTCACCACGAGAGGCTCCTACAGCGACTATGCTCTTCTCTACTGTTAGAGGAGGTCAACGGTGAGTGTGGTGGGGCAAACAGAGAGGAAGTGGTCCCTCACTAAGCGAAGGGAGTCAGGGAGCCGGATGACTATGTAGTAGAGGGTGATGTATATGGGGGGGGGGGGGGGTTCTTGGCACAAAACTCAGCAGGAAGCGCAGCGCGGTAGCGAGTGTCACTAGTGCGGAGGTGCGTAATGAGGTCTGCGACTGTGGGAAAGGCAGCAAGGTCAGGGAACAGGTACGGCAGCAGAAGGCGGCTAAGCGCAGCAATGGCAAGGGAGGAGTAGCGTGCAACTACAGCATCGTACAAGGTCTAAGCACTCTTGTACTGGCTAAGGTGCGCACGCTCAGAGGTCGGTAAGTGGCTACGCACAGCAAGACGGGCAGCACCTATCGCGTTTGGCCCACTGTGAGCGAACAGTGCTGTAAGCGGTAGCAGGCGGGGCAAGAGAGGCACTAGAGGTGAGATCGAACAGGGAGAGTCCGCCCGCCCTATCGCACTGTAGGAACAGCTGGAGGTCATTGACCGAGACCTCAAAGTCAACAGCACGACCCTCAGCATCAAAGGTAAGGACACTGGGGGTAGCCATGACTGCAGTGGCCTAGCAGGGAGTGATCTCGCTTGTCCGAGTAAGTAGGGCGGGGGCGCGCCGGTAGGCACAGTAGCGGCTCGACTGCAGGGCGGCTCGGCGGCTCGACTGCTGGGCGGCTCGGCGGCTCGGCGGCTCGGCTGCTGGGCGGCTCGGCTGCTAGGCGGCTCGGCGGCTCGGCTGTTGGGCGACTCGGCGGCTCGAATGCTGGGCGGCTCGGCGGCTCGGCTGCTGGGCGGCTCGGTGGCTCGGCTTCTGGGTGGTTTGGCTGCTCAGCTGCTGGGCTGCTCAACGGTGAAGGGGCCGGTAGAGGCGGCGACGGAGCCGGTAGAGGCAGCAATGGGGCCGTTTGGGGCGGCGATGGGGCCGCTAAGGGCGGCGAGGTGGCCGCGAAGGGCGGCGACGGGGCCTCCAGAGGCGGCAATGGGGCTGCTAGGGGCGGCGACGGGGCCGCAGAGGGGCCACAAGGGGCCTAGAGGGGCGGCGACGAGGCCGCGAAGGGGCCGTAAGGGGCCTAGAGGGGGCGGCGACGGGGCCGCAAGTGGCGGCGACGGGGCCGCAAAGGGGCCGCAAGGGGCCTAGTGAGGCGGCAACGGGGCCACTAGGGGCGGCAACTGGGCCATGAAGGGGCCGCGAGGGGCCTATAGGGGCGGCGACGGGGCCTAGAGCGGCGGCGACGGGGCCGTGAAGGGGCCGCAAGGGGCCTAGAGCGGCGGCGACGGGGCCTAAAGCGGCAACGACGGGGCCGTGAAGGGGCCGCGAGTGGCCTAGAGGGGCGGCGACGGGGTCGCTAAGGACGGCGACGGGGCCGCTAAGGGTGGCGCGAGGGGCCTCTAAGGAGGGCGCGACGTGAGGGCGGCCTACGGGGCACGCCTCGGGCAAGAAAAAAAGATCGAGTTAGGTGGTGGGCCCTGAGAAGCGTTCCCACAAGGGAACTTGCTCTATACCATGTGAAGAATGAGGAATGAATGAACTAGCAAGCAGGTGGGTACAAGTAGGAAAATCTAGAAATGTTGTACCCCATATAGTCTACCCCACTACAGCCTACACAGACTATAACATATAAGTTTGACAATGCCAAGTCAGGTCGAGTGTAGGTTATCAGGTACATGAGGCAGCCAACAAGGTCTGCGTACGGGCCACTCGGCTCTACGGACTCATCCGAAGGCAGAGCTGAGAGCGAGTGGCGAGTAGACAGAGGAGTGGCCTGAGGCGAGGAGTACGTGAAGTTGAAGCGCTGAAGGACCTGTTGCACCATGTGTGACTGAGTCAAGGTAATGGTGCTCCGTGCTCTGTCCCGGGTGATCTGCAAGCCAAGATAGCTGCGCAGCTCACCCAGGTCAGTGCACGTGTGTCTTTTCTGCAGCTTCGACTTTACGTGGGCCAGTACAGCAGTGTCAGCAGTAGCAAAAACCAAGTCGTCGACGTACACGAGGATGTGGAACGGCGGCATAGTACTGTTGGTGCGGAGAAACAGCGACGGGTCAGCAGTAGAAGGAGCAAACCAAAGAGCCGCAAGCATAGTCCTCAATGTGTCGTGCCACTCGCGGGGCGCCTGGCGGAGACCGTAGACTGGCCGCCGGAGGCTCCACAGGGTACCACGAGGAAACGACCCAGTGAAGCCAGGTGGGCGGTGCAGCCAGATCTCCTCGTGCAGGCTGCCCTGTAGGAAGGCAGTGCTGAAGTCAAGAGAGTGAAGCTCTTATTCACGCTGAGCAGCAACATGCACCAGAACCCAAAGAGTGGTCATCTTCGGGGTCGAGAAGGTCTGGAAGAAGTCAACTCTCTATCGCTGACTAAAGCCTCGAGCAATGTAACGCGCCTTGAAGACAAGCGGAGAGCCCGGCGGCCGCTTCACCCTGAAAATCCACATGCCACTGACGATGTTCACCCCAGGAGGGGGAACCTCGTCGACGTACGTGCCTGTGGACTTCCAGGATGCCATCTCTGCGTCCATCGCTGTCTGCCACTAAGAGGAGTACTCACCCGCGATCGCCTCAGCGTAAGAGCACGGGGTCGGGATGTCTGGTGCATCCGGGTCTCCCTCAGGTGCAATCAGCATGGACGCGAGATGAGGTACAGCAGCTGCAAAGCACTCAAAGTCCAACTGCACGTCCTCAAGGACGTCTCTGCCAGGGGCACACTCACCCCCGACAGACGGAGGACAAAAATACTCAGACCCAGCAAGAAGACTCGCGGCGTAGTCTAGACGACAGTGAGCAGCAAAGTCGACAAGCTCAGCAACTAAGGCAGATGCAGCAGTGGATTCAAAGGTAGGGCCTGTGAAAACAGTGGCCAGGAGGCGCGTGATAGTAAGACTAGCAGCACGGAGGGAGTCAGACTCCGGGTCAGAAAGGGCAGGAAGAGAGGACACAGGAGGAGACGGCAGAGGGACACGCTGCGGAGCAGTGGAAGGACGCAAAGCCATTCGGTGCATGCCAAAAACAAGAGGAGGACGCTAACGCAAACCACGACGACTAGTGCTTGCAGCATGAACAGGAGAGGCAGGACGAGACGCAGGCTCATGACGCTCAGCCAGACCTCCAGTCGGACCACTGTAAGGAGAAGGAGCAGACAGTGGGGAGGCTGGCTGCAACTATGACTGCGACTTGTTAGGCGGTGGACACTCTAAGAAAGGAACAGGACCAGTAGAAGGCGGAAGACCAAGAACCTGCTGAAGGAGCGGAACATAGTACGGCCACGGCCGCGCAGCGCCTCCAGAACCAGCAGGGATAGCACTAGCACCCCTAGCGGGAGCTCCAACTCCAGCAGCACCACCAGCTCCAGCAACACCTCCAACTGCTCTAGTAGCGCTAGCTCCAGCACCCACAGGAGCACCGGCTCCAGCAGCACCTCCTGCTCTAGCACCTCCAGCAGCTCCAGCTCCAGCAAGACCACCAGAAGACTAGTAGCTCCAGCTCTAGTACCTCCATCAGCAGCTGCTCTAGCAGCACCGCCAGCTCCAGCACCTCCAGCAGCTCCAGCTCCAGCAGCACCACCAGGCCCAGCAGCTCCAATACCTCCAGTACGAGCACCTCCGGGACCTGTGGCTCTAGAACCCCCAACAGCTCTAGCACCAGCAGAACCTCCAGCGCCCGTAGCACCACCAACTTCAGCAGCAAGGCTCCAGCGCTGAGCAAATCACTCGCGCAGCTGCTGTGGAGAGAGTGGCTCCCGACGGGACGAAGCGCCCGAAGGACCGCCAGGCTCTGTACCTCCAGACTCCACACGCGCAAGCTCAGCACCCTCAGGCTCCGCATCCCCTGACTCAGCAACCTGAGGCTCAACACCCCCAGACTCAGCACCCTCAGGCTCAGCACCCCCATACTCAGCACCACCAGGCTCCGCACGCTCAGGCTCAGCACCCCCAGACCCGGTACCCACAGGATCAACACCCCTTGCAGCACCAGAGTCAACAGCTACCTTGACACGCTTGACTGCGTCTACCCTGGACACACCTGAGGGGGCAGGTCCCTGAGGAGGGAGGGGGTCTACTTGGGGAGCACCTGGAGCGAGGAAGAGCGACGGGGGGGGGGAGGGGGGCAGTGCGGTAGGGGAAGAGACGGTAGGAAGGAACCGACTCGTCAAACGTGACATCCTCAGACGACAGAATACGGCGCGAGGTGGGGTGGTAAAACTGCCAACCAAGCGCGTCAGGGGGGAAGCCAAGGAAGACGCAAGGAACATTACGGGAGGACAGCTTGTCCGCAGACAAGTGACGGACAAAATCTCGAGATCTCCAGACACGGAACGCAGACGCATCGCCAACCTTCCCCGTCCACCGCATAGTAGGTGTGGTCTCCGTCATGGAGACCCAAGGCTGGAGGTTGATCTCATGCGCCGCGTGATCTCCGCGAACGGCCACAAAAAATGGGGAGCAGCCACATGGATCATGGACGTACGAGCGACGTCCATGACCATGCCAATGCGGCGCTCAGCAATCCCATTTTGCTGTGGAGAGGCCAAAAGCGTGAACGTCTCGCGGATGCCCTCCGCACGACAGAAGGCTCGCAAAAGGTCGGAGGAAAACTCTCCACCTCTGTCGGAGTGCAGACGCAGAACAGGAAGGTCCGAGCCAAAACTCTCGCTGAGCTGGCGACGGGCTGCACGGATCCAGTCGATCAGCACCTCAGTGACCTCACCCTTGCAGCGCAAGGGGAAGACTGTGGTGTAACGCGAGTAGCCGTCAACAATGAGCAGAAAGTAGCGCTCGTGACCCTGTCTACGGACGCGGGCTAGGCCTCACACGTCCATGTGAAGAGTCTGCAAGGGAGCCTGCGTCAGAGGGAACACGGAGGATTGAGGAGCAGCGCGCTGCCGCCCCTCGATGCAAGGAACGCAGGTAGGGGCAGGTCCCCGGGGGAGGGGAGGGAGGGACCGGGGAAGACTAGTGACAAGGACATGGGAGGCCATGCCTTCGAGACGAGGCAGGGAGGGGTGACCAAGGCGGTGGTGCCAGAGGAGAGTCTGGTGAGACAGGAGGTGACACGAGCAGGGGGCAGATTCAGGACCAGACCGGGACGCTGCAGCAAACACCTGACCCAACGCGGCTACCTGACCAGACTCAGCAACCGGAGGAGACATGGTAGTCAGGGTGTACAGGCTCGACCCTGGCTGACGGGTGAACGTGGCCAGGTGCCGGCCCGTCGGAGTACACGAACAGTGGGTCACCGGCTGACCTCCAGGAGTGAACTGGTCAACCCACGCGTCCTGAAGGTCAGCTCCACTCACCAAGTTTGTGGAGAGCGAGGGGAGGTGGAGGCCAGAAAGAGAGCCAGACAGGACTGCCGAACACGGTAGAACCATGGAGGAGTGTGCAAGGACAGGACCCCCAGAGGGGTCTGCCAGGGAGACTGCCACTGGCCGACTAAGCGGCGTAAGCGTGGTGCGGTCTCAAAAAAAGGAGCGGGAAGCACACGAGTCAAGGATGAAGGTGTGGGTGGCCGGACCCAACGTGGTACCTGAGAGCGCAGACTCACCAGCACCTAGGGCAGCAGGCT